TTAATTTATTGATTCATATATTATGTCTTTAGAATACTCTGCTTACCAGGTTTATTGTTAGAATTTCTACCAACCATATTTTCGTCACTATACAGAACAATATTGTCAATGTATGTTTCGTCATCACTCACATCCTCAACATCAAGTTCGTTTGATTAATTTTCATTGAAATAAATATTTGTTGTTCTTTTACAAATATTTCCAACTAAACCTTTGAATATTTTGGAAAAAGCAATAAGTTCTTCAACTAATTTATTGTAATCAATACTTGCTAATTCTGCTAATTTTTGTAAGCCATGTTTAGGAATTGATTGTATGAAATCTTCTTGAAAACAACTAGGGTGTAAAAACTGTGCGTCAGCTATTAATTCTTTATTGTTGGAAAACCTTTCATTCAAGCTCATATTCAATTGATCAATTATATTTTGAAATGTTTGTACTCTATACTGGTCAAGGCAGGTTGAAAAGGTGAAATATTGGTTATTTTCATCAAAATATGTTTTTTTTCTCCTTATACGGTGTTCTGGAAATGTCTCTTCTATGACTATGTCATTTGAAATATTCAAGTTTGAAAGTTTTTCGTTCATATTTGTAGTAAACCGTTCAGCATTTTTTACAACATTATGAAATGAAATAGTTTTTATATCATTTTTAGTTCTATCAACCATTTTCCATGCTGATACAAAATCAAGATGTTTTGTCTGTAAGTAGTTAGATGTAGGTCTGATAAAATAAAATATATCTAAGAAAATATGTGCTGTTAATATAGTTTTAAATTCAATTAAATTTTTTAATAAGGAACTTGCCTCCGAGGATGTATTATTATCAAAAGAGTCATCCACTGTAATATGTTGTAATGCACTTATAATAGTTGGAAATAAACAATCGTTACCTTTGAAAACCCAATCTAAAGCTTTATGTCTAGCCCACCATCTAGTATTTGTTTCGGCTACTTTTTGCAATTTTCTTAGTTTATGTGGACCAATATTAGTGTTATTATAACTTTCACGAGTCCAAATATTCATCCATTTGTAAGAACTACCAAAAAAAGTAGCTAAACGATTTAAAAGATCAAACAGATTTTTAGAGTCAATATTTTTACAAACATCTATTACACATAAATTTAAAATGTGGCTATAACACCAAATGTATATGGAATTTTTATTCTGAGATTTAATGAAAGACTGTAATCCATTAAATTGGCCACTCATATTACTTGCGCCGTCAAATGATTCTCCTACTATATTTTTAAATTCTAGTCCATGTTCTAAAAAACAACAATTTAGTAACTGATATAAATCTTTACCAGTAGAACTTTTAACTTGAACAATTGCTAAGAGCCTTTCTTTTATTTCACCATTTGCACAATAGCGGACACATATTGAGGCTTGATCAATGACGCCAATGTCTTGCGTACTATCTACTTGTATACTAAATTTTTGTTGGCTAATTTCATTTTTTATTTTGTTTCTTAAACATAGCAAAATTCCTTGTATCACCTTGTCAACAGTAGTTTTAGAAAGAAATGTTACCAATGATCCTCGACCTTTTGAGTTTAATTTATTATCCTGTTCAAGTTTAACTTTCCTTAATTTACTCTTTTTTATAGATTGCTGTAAATGTTCATTCAATATTGAATCTCGTTGAGCTACAAAATTTATCATTTCAAATGATAAATGTTTCGTTAGATGTTGGTCCTCTGTAGGGTAAATTTTGACGTCCAATGAACTTGACTATATCAAAAACTTGTTTTAGTATATGGATATTATTTTCTACCTCTTTTTTTCTTGCAATTACATTACAAGATTTCAGTTGATTGAATATTCAATTGACATTTCATTTGATGCTCGAAAATAGTGCTCAACTGCATTACAGTGAATATGAGAGTTTTCATGACGTTCAATAGCCGAGTAAACATGTTTGAAATTGGTACAACCTTCAGAAGAAGAATAATTACTACTTGCTGCATTCAGTCCAAATGCAATACAAATAGTACAAAACATAGCATCTATGCCATTAGAATTTTTTAAAATTGATAACCACTTTCTGTGAATTTGTTTACCAAGAACAGATCTATAATATACTTTATTGAAATCAATAACAACATTTTTAATACTGTTGGTTGAATTGTATTTTTCTTTACAAAATCTATTTTATTGGAAATCGATGAGCTGATAGGTAATTTAAAGCTAGTAACATCTATTACACCAGAGTTCGCATCAGTAGGTAAGCCATTTACATAATCATCAGGAATATCAAAAACATTGTCATTACCATCATTGCAATCAAGTTCTCTCTAGTAAAATTTTTTCCTAATTATTATTACTGACATTTATAATAATTTTAATAATTTTAATATAATAAATATCTTATAATAAGAAATCAATAAAAAATAAGCTGATGCACAAGTGAGATACAGTAATGGTAACTCATATTATTGAATAAATTGTAATTTGTAACTAACATTTTTTTAATTCTACCACAACTGAAACTATTACAAATACTTGAACTAAGTGTCTTATATATCATTGATTCATTCATATGAAAATCACACACCAAAAATAATAAGTTAAGTTATTTTACTTTCTAAATTAAAGTAATCAACTATTAAAATACCTATTACCTAATTATTTTTAATTAAAATAATTTTATTTATAAATGAGAAATTAAAAATGAACTCAGTAAAATGTATTAAAAAAATGTAGGTATAAATAAATGTATTAATAAATAAATATATATATATTAATATTTTGTATGTTAAATGTATTTATTAAAAATTTTATAATTTTATAAATAAAAATTATATCATATAATAGTCTGATTTAAAGTCAAAATTAAACGTTATAATTGAAAAAAAGTATAAAAATTTATAAAATAGGTATACATTTATAAAGACAAACAGAGAAAATATACAAAACAATTGCATGAACATTGAACATCCATCTACTCTTTAATAATTATATTTATTATCAAAAGACAGTACAATTTACCTTTACCTTTACCGTACATCAAAGCTTTAAAATTTATTATTTATAAAATAAATCATAAAACGATAAATTGCTGTAGTTATGACTTGAAAATATAGTCCAAAATATTTCAAAACATATTCTTTTTAGTGAATAAAAATCGGAAGCACACAAAAGAAAGTAATGTGTTCAAAAATTTAATTTATTATATTTATTATGTCACTAATGTCAACATTTAAGTTTGAAACAAAGATTCTGGTTACAAACATATATAACTAACCTTTTCTATTACAGCAATGGAATTTGTAGCATTAGATTGGCTAATATTGCTAAAACAAATTTTTGTCTGCTTCGGATCTGAAGCTGCAGACTTTAATTCTGCCGCTTGTTTTAAACGTTTTTTTTCTGCGCCACTTTTTACTTTATTAGAGCTGTTCATATTAAATTTGTATATTTTGATATGAAAAACTATAACAAACTATACACTATACACAATACACTGAAATAGTCACCAATTACAATTTACAATATCGAAAACGTAAAAAATGTCTCCTGTTCAACCCGCGTACCGCACTGCCAAAGAATAGAATATTCAAACACATTTATCTAATGATAAAAATAACCCATATAAAAGACAACTAACACTATTATGTTAGTTTCATCGATAACAAAAATAATAAATGATTTTTAATTTGTAAACCAGTAGGCAATAACTCATAGGGAACGATATAATTAGATATTCAGTCTGTAGTCAGAAAGTGAAGACTTTTCAAATACATAGGGCTACGGCTATATTACATAAAATATAGTAATAGTGTAAACGAGTAAAGAATAGATCCGCAATTATCTGTTAAGAGGACGTTCCACCAAAATATAACGAAACGAACGCTCCAGAGATAGCGTTGTTTGACGTATCCACGCCGTCGCGGCAGACTGTAACCACGCCCATTGTCTACCCAACGCGGTCCACACGTCTTAGTCGCGGGAGAGGTACATTATTATTTCACCGACTCTCGTTTCGAACGTTTCGCTACAGTGCTATTGAGCGTTTCGTATTATACTATATTATTATACCTATTATAATTATGTCACCTACCCAATAATCGCTAATATAGTAATACCTGTGTACTTCTAACACGCGTCACGCTCGCTTACAAACTATATTTTAAAGTTACCGTCAACTTAAATATTTGTATCAACGCATAAAACAAAAAATATTATACAACATTAATTTCATAACGAGATACACATATATAGTTAATAAGTAACAAATAATTAAATCACACGTCGTGAGCGTTCTGTGAGTTCTGCAATTTACTCAAGAAAATTAGTAAAATATATCTATAATATCTATCAAACAGAATTCTAGATATGAATAGGAAGTCATTTTAAGTTATTAATATAGTTAAGAGGATGTCAGCGTGAAAGTAGAACGTATACAACGCTCAAGAGATGGCGTTGTTCGCCGTATCGCCGCAGTCGCGACAGCTTGAAACTACGCCCATTTCGTCTGCGACGTAGTCGCGTGTTTTATTCTCGGGAGAGACGGTATCATTAATGTTTAGACCATCGTGTCAAACGTTTCGCGCCGATGTAATGTTATGTAATGTAAATGTAATGCACCGTTTGTTTCCTCGCTCTTTCTGCCCCTACCACAACATACCAGCATTACTAGAACCAACCTTGTGTTGTTAGCTTTGGTATAAGAGTGAATTAACCTATTATCAACCTTAAAGTTAAGAATATTCTCTATATTTTTACGATATTCGATTTTTATACAAGTTTTGAGTATTTAAAATATTACAATATTTAAAAATGCTCATTTCTCGCGTTAAAATGAAAACATATATCGTTAATTAATAAAAAGACAATTTCCAGATTATTTATAATATATTACCGAATGCATTTTATAAAATAATCGCACGCGTCCACAAACTAATAATTAAAGCTGCTGTTTGCTAAATATAATAAATAAATAAATAAGTACCAATACATCAATAAGTGAAGCTTTTATATTATAAGATGTATACAAATTTATTTTATTTTTTTGTTTTGTTGCTTTTTTATATGATCGGGTTCTTTAATATCATTTATCAATATCCGCTTACAATATTGAGGATTTATAAGTTCTGGCAATAAACATTCCATATAGAATCTGAAACAACCGTTTGAATTCATATTTTAGAATATAAGTTATATATTTTTATGTAGTAGCCGCTAATACATACGTTTTTAAATAATCTAACATTTTTTCGGACCAAAAGTGTTCATCGTAAATGATTTTTTCAACTGAAATCCATTTTTCAGAATATATTATAAAATAACATAGGTTTCTTCTGGTTATATGCAACTGCCCTTGAATCTGATAATAATAATCACATGTTTTTTTTAGTTCAGTTATGTTTTCATCGTTTATATTTTTTATACTGCAATACTTAATCTAGAAAATGAAATATATCATTTTTATTATTTTTTATTCTTAAAAATGTGTGAAATAATTTTACGTATATATTATTATAATACTTTTCCTTCCTTTATCGCGTGAATTATGGTATCACAGTCTTTTGCTGAGTATGGGCATTTAATTTCAATCAATGAATCATAATCAACAAAACCATCTAAAATGTTAATTTAACTATAATATTATGACATGAATGAGGTAGGTTTAATGTGATATAACTTGAACTTTTTGTAGATATATTACCTGGGCTTGCTGCTAAATATGGTATTTCAGAATCCACACATAGACCAGCTGGAGAAACTTTTAACCCAAATTTAGTTTCAAATTCATTTCTAGCATATGGCTCCATACTTTTTCCATAATCCAACGCCTTTGCTTGTATGTTGTTACCATACAGTAAACCATAAACGGTATTTTTACAAGACGTATGTGGTCTCATTTTACATATTTTGCCGAAGTTTGATGCAGTTATTCGGTTTCGTCTTTCGACATGCCAAAGTTGAGAGTCAGCTTGATTTCTAGTTTCTTTTTCCAAATAACCTATGTTTATTATAAATGAATAATATTATAATAAGTTTATATAATATACACAAATGTATATTTAGAATCGCAGTTATAGTTAATTTTTTTTATGCAAATAGATATACTTACTTCGATCCATTTCAGAAAGGCTCTTAATGAACGCAATTTTTTTTTGTTTTATATCTTCTTCTGAAATATCTTCTATCAATGGTTCAGACAAACCATAATCCTCGTCAGGCCCATTAACTTTTAAGTGTATTTTATTTTTAGGAAATAAAATTCTTCGTCTACAGTTATTAATTCTTATTCTTTTAGCGTCTGATAAAAACCGTTTTCCAAATGTTCCTATTTATATATCAATATGTATATAGTACAATACATAAAAATGTAAACAAATAAATATCTAGAGCATAATATAAAGACGATATAGGTATACAACATTTAGTTTTAAAATTACCTGGACTTGCATTGGTTATAGATTTATGAATTGTGCGTAAATACGATTGTGAATTAAATGCAATCACAGCTGCCTCTACTCTCGTATTATATGTGTGTTTTTGAGACAAATTTGTTCTTTTGCCACCAATGTATTTGTTAATCATGCTATTAAATTGCTCACATATATTATTGTCAACATTTTTTAAGAGACTCTGAGCATTGTTGAATAAACGCCGATTAGCCATATTAATTTCCCTCATTAAACCACAGTTTTCAGCGATGGAAACTAAATTTTGATCACCAGTTTTAGATTCTTTACAAAAATATTTGTCACACTTGTTATGTTCTCCTAATATGTGATACGGACTGTTCATTATATCATTTGCCAAATCTTAAAGTGTACGAAAAATCAAATATAATATTATAGATAAGATGTATATAATTTTACTGATGTATAGTAAATAAAAATATTAATAAAAAAAAACCTGAAGCTTGTTGCGTTGTAGGCTTATTCTCCTTTTTTCTATACTTAATAGCTGTTACAATACCAGTCCTAAACCTCATGATATTTGATAAAATAAATCTACGTACATTTATAGGATATATACATTTTTTTGCAGCAGCAGTAAGTTTTTGGCAATAATTTCTTAATAAATGGTTTCTACATTCGATTTTCTGTATTAAAAAATTAGGACCATACGGTAAAACTTCGTTGAGACGTTTAGTGACACTACTGTCTCCATCGCCTAAATAATATAATAGGTATAATAGTATAATACTATAATTTAGTAAAATTTGTTTGTAATAATAAACTAGGAATTCCGAATTATACATAGTAATAAAATAAAAATAAACATATAGGTACCGATTAATTTGTTGTACTTCAAATTGTGCATTTCAATACTTTTTTGAAATCCTTCTACTACACCATCAGCTTCAATACTAGTAGCCGATTTATTCCAGTTTTTAAAACAGCTATGTTTAGGCTTTTCAATTTGTTTTAAAGCTGCGCGATGACATACGACACAATATCGATTTCTAATCCCGACGAATAGTACTTTTTTTGTCCTATATCCTATAATAGTTGCCTATAGAAAAATTATTTATCAACTTTCAGCGCATTTAAAATTTAAAGAGAGCTTAAAAATTAAAATATCATACCACTCCAGATAGTGCGTCGTATTTCGACTTGTAGCTCCTTTTACCCCATTGGCCATCTGCTACCACAGTACATAGAGCATTTCCATCTTCATCGACGTCTCCATCTTCAATTGCTAACCTCCTCTCTTCCTCGCCAGCTTTTAACATTTCTGTCCGAGCACTGTCGTGGATACTAGAATGCATCGATTTGTGAACTCTTGAATACGTCGTATTAGCCATAGAAGGCATTTCTAATGCAGCTGAAAATTCTGTCAATTGTCTTTGTCCAATGCCTAAGTTATATAATTTGAAAACAAAAAATATGTTGTACCTTTTTCTAAAAAGTTTAACATTTTAATTAAAAATTATAAAAAAAATTACCGATTGCAACAGTGCCATTTAAAACCGCTTTATTTATAGTCAAATAGTCAGCTTTTATATTTTCTGACGAAATACGCATTTTAATACAACACATCTTACACTTGAATTCAAATGTAGAAAAATAGCCGTTCAATTTTTCTGAAACATATTCCATATCACTGAATGTACAATCGAAACCACTTTCATGTCGAAACGTTCTAATTTGTTCAAATATGTGAAAAATGTCTACTATCCTTCGACCAACTAAGGGTACTTTTTTACATTCAGTAGTCCTACGAATCAAAAAAATAATTATAAAATAATTATAATAATAGAACTAGTAATTTCTACATATTATAGGTGCTTAGTTATTAATTAAAATTATTATTATTATTATCATTTTCTTTTATATTATAATTCTAATAATGCATTTATTCTACAAAGTTGTGAGTATTTGTGATATTTCTAAACCAAGTAGAAAAACAACATATTATATATAAAAGAAATAAAACAATTTTCTTAAATTTTCGTATAAAGTTAAAGACTCGTAAAAAATACTTGTGGAATTACGCTCGACTTTGTTTTATAATATTATCATTAGCAAAACGTAGGTAGAACATTGTATTGAATTTTAAAACTTGAATTATTGTATGTATGAATTTTTAACTATAAATTAACTTGCGAATTATCGCGACTATCAGTTATTACTTATTACTTACATTTTAGTACGTTCATCATCATGACTAGTTTGAAGATTAAAAGCTTCTACTTCACTACAAGAGAAATTAATTAAATCGTTTCTATGCTCTGGTAATTTAAAAATGATTGGAGTAGAAAATGCAGCTGGAGGTGTTAAATCATGTATATCATCTGCAGATATTTGATGTTCATTTAATATTTCTGTCGTAATAGAAGTATCAGTTTTTGCACTGTAAAAAATTATTATTTATTAAAGTTAGTTACTACTATTAACTAACTTTGATCATAGACAGATTAAAGATTTCCTTACGAAAAATATTAAATAGTGAGAAGATTAGTGTTCTTACTTACTTAATATTTGAATTTTTTCTAAAAATGTTGACTGTTACTATGTTATAAATTAAAATTCAGAAATACATTTCATTTTCTAAATTTTTAATGCAGAAATAATTATTATAATTGGTACTTACCGAACATTTAGGGGGTTGTTACGATTTAAACTAATCCCTTTTTTAGTTTCTTTCATACGTTTTGACCTTGACTTTGGACCTGATCGAGCTCGTCTAGCTGAAACTGCTCGTACCTTTTTTGGTGCCATTATTTGCAAAACAATTATAAAATACAAACAAAACCAAGGAACACAAACGACAAACCACAATGCTCATTCGCATAAATTAAATGTTTTGTATAATAAATGCTTTTCCGTTATAACAAATTATAATATACCAACTATACGTAGTCCCTCAAAATAATATTCAAAACATTATTTATACTGTCCAAGTATATTTAAATTGTTTTTATTAGTACTTGCTAGTCGCTACAGAGTACAGACGTAGTATATTGTAATCGTACGTAAAAATAAAAGACGTATCATAATAATATTGGCCATTGGGTATAATTTGTATAAATGTATAATAATTATTAATAACTGGTCTGACAATACGTAGAAATCGGGATCGGAAACAGCGATATGCCGGTTAATAGCTATAATTACTCAGTGCACAGAACGTATGATATGAAGTGGGGATTTGTCGAAGATAGTTACATTGCGCGTCGCATACCACGCATAGCGCTCTACTAGGAAATAATTGTTTTTCAATTTTTAAATATAATGAAAACTGTTTTGTGCGAACCAACTGTATGAGAACAGTTTTCATCATAAAATTATAAAAACTTTACAGAGCCTAAAGGAAAACATTATCTGTGCAATAGCGTTCTTATTTTATTTCTAGCATAATTCAATATTTTTTAATAAGCAAATCAAAAATTAAGAAAAGACAAGTATTAATTAATTGATAAATCCATTTGCATTTTTGCTATCAAAAAAATTAAAACGCTACGACACAGGTAATATTCTCCTTTATATGTTGTAAAGATTTGGTACTTCTAGCATAAAATCTGATTGCGTAGACTTGGTTCCCGCAGAATGAGTTTTGCGGCCGATTCACGGGTGCGCTGACATCCTCTTAAAAAATAATTGAATTCATAATATATGTGGCCATGTACCTACATACATGTATATATACAATATACATAATATTAAATTGTATACATAATATGTATCGTAATTATATAAATATTTTTTAAGGAATACGTCATATTTATAATTTTTTTTTCAATAATTTTGTTTGTTTTTTTCCCTTAACTTTTTCCGTAGCTTTTACCATGTTGTCTCTGATATGTGGAGGATCGACGATATCACTTTTTAGTAATCGTTTGCTAAATTGTGGATCAACGATTTCCAAAAGCAAACATTCTTCATAAAATCTAAAACAATAATTATTTTATACCATAGTAAAATTACTTATAGTATGTTTATGCATTGATTTTTAACTACTTCTCAATGGTTTAGAATAGCCAAAGGTTATCGGGAGTAGACATATTATTATATGAGATAAATGTGTTCAATCGATATTTGGTAGGAATAAATGTGTTATCTATTGTTTATGTAGCCATGAAGACCACGTATATTTTTATGCGTTAGTGGACTGTATATTTAAAACACTTGATTTTCAATGTGTATTATTACGATTTATTTTGAACATTTTAATTAGTTAATTTATATATATACATTTTATTCGTGAAAGACATTATATTCTGCCAAACGATAGCAGACGACTGTGACACACAAGAAAGAATTAATACCGCGATCATGTGAGTAACGATATCTTATCTTATAAACTATAACTGGTCCGACGGGGCCGACGCGGTGCGGACGCAACAGTTTATTTACTTATTACTTACAATGTTAAATATGGTTCCATTTTTGTTTTCCAAAAGTTTCATTATATCTTATTATTTCAATTTTGTCCATTTTGGGTGAACATAAAAGTAGCACGAGTTTCGTCCTGTAATATGCATTTGGCCTTATTTGGTAATAGTAATATGACGTACCGTGTTATTTTACACATATATATTATACGGAGAGGGTGATGTATACCGATGGAATAACATATTCAAACAGTGTAGTATCGAACGGTATGGCGATCACCCGCACATCGATATTTAATAACAAGACATGATCACACGTCCTGACTTTCAGAAATGATGAGTAAACGAAGTGTTAATTACTTTATCGATGCGACAATCAAGACTTGATCACACGTCTTGTAATTTTAGAACCGATGAAATCGGCGGAAAGGCACCCAACTGAAATAAAAGATTTAATTTAGAGAGCCCTTAGGTCATCGGTAATCACTACCCTAAGTCACACATCTTGACGTCATAACCATATATAAGTTGAGCCAGGTAAGAGCTCAGCAGATTGTTAGGATATTCGAGACGCTCAGAGGCAGGTCGTAAAACACCACCACGGTCTCGTTCATCAGTTATTTCGAGGCAGCGTAACACCACTCACACCATCTTGTGCTTATAAAATTGTATTCTGTTAATATTAATTAGATAAATAAAGACGAACCTTTAACTTGCAAACATTGTATTTATTCTACGCTTGATATGTATCGACGCGACATCAACGGGACGCACAATAACTATCTGTTTTCAAAACAATATCATTGCTTTAACCACCAGGCACCTAAATTAAATTCCAATGTTCTATTGTAAGTTTTATAAATTAACAAAATTAAAATAAATCATGTTCCAACAATCCTGATATTAACTTTTATAAATATGATAAAGAATTGTCTTAGCTAGTTACCTTTTTCACAGAACAGCTGTTCAGCTGTCTACTTTACAGAAATGGACATTTTATTTCACTGAAACTTAGCAATACGTAACTGAACGAAGTACACCGTA